CATAATCGAAGCCAGACATGAAGTTCTCCGGTTTTAATTCGCCATTCGTTTCCTCATAGAAATATTCGGTGCCAACAATATCGATAATGTCGTTATCCTCTTGGTTTAGCTCAATTCCTGGAGGCGGGGAACCTCCTGTCAATTCGCAACGTTTCAGCTCGGAAAGTTTCTTACGCGTAGTCAAACGCATATCCCGCCAGCACTCCTTCCACTGTATTATGGTCTTCTTTGGTCCGATTGTATTTAGCGCCGCCTGTATCTTCTCCCAATACCATTCATTCTCCTTTTTCCCCCTTTTTCCATATATTTGGTTTCACGCAGGAGTGTAATGAGCATTTTCTTTTGCAGTTTCGTTACACGATCCATTTTTGTTCGTTGTAAATTATAACCAAAATAAAAATTTGCTATGAATTTTTGACAAGCTTTAAGGTATTGGCCCAATGCACGCTTGCTTTGCTTGCTTTGCTTACTTTAGTTTGCTTTGCTTTACTTTGAAGGAAGTGAAGTAAAGCTGCCACTAGGCCAACTTTCATACATTTTAGTAGATTTTAAAAATTGTTTGACAGTTCTCAAAGCCAAGCAAGCAAAGCAAGCGTGCATTGGGCCAATACCTTTATTTCTGCCGCAGGAATTTAGACAAAATTTTCTAAGCTGAACTAGATGCGCTTGCTCTTATTCTACCGAGTGAAAATTTGACATGTTGGTTTAATACCGGTTACAATGAATTTTTATGGTAAGCATGATCTGATGATACACGCCCGATTGGCTCCATCCGTAGGAACTCCTCGTTAAAAATTCGAATGTTTTAAACGGGTGAGTGCAATAACGTCCGTGAAAATAACGCCCATGGGCTTTATTTTCTAAAAAAAAAGAAACAAAGTCCTCGGGCATTATTGCCTTTTCGAAAAAGAAATTTCGATTTGGCAATAACGGCCGCGGGCTTCATTTCCTAAAAAATTAAATAAAGCCCGCGGGCGTTATGTATTTCATCTTTATTGTGGCTCTTGTCTCCACTTTGGAATATGTACATCAAAAACCCGCTGTTCTAAATAAAAACCAATATGATAACATTGAACTAAATATATTTTTTTCCTTAATTATACGAAGAAATTTAAATTAACAAATTTTAGTGCGTATATTTAAAACATATGTACATATGTATGCATGTACATGTGTGTGGAAATTAAATAATTCAAAGTTTCAACAAAAAAAAAGGAACATGAAAAAGTAAAATAAATACTTTCGTCGATTGTCGAAAAATTAGACGGCAAATTGGACACAAAATACTTGTATTACCAATAGTACACCTACTGTGCTCTGCAAAGCAAATGAGAGTTTAAAATGATTGGCCCAACTTCTCCTCCGATTGGTGGTATGTGCCTTGATTTCACACAAACCACTCGACCACGGGTGATTCACGTTTTTCTGTCCTTTACTCATTTTTGTTGTTTGTGAAATTTTCAGTCGCCTGCTCAGTTAAAACAACCCGTGCGTCATCCCCATCACCACAGTACATTTGGAAGCCAGCCTGTGGACGCTCAACCGCGGCGGTCCGCGTTGGCATCATCGCGCTTGCTCCGGGCGTCCGCGGTTCGATTTTATGCGTATACTGCAGATGGGAATTTAACGCATTGGTGGGCGCTATTTCCCCTTCGAAATGTAAATAACGCCCGCGGGTTTTATTTCTTTTTTTTTTAGGAAACAAAGCCCATGGGCATTATTTCCGCGGGCGTTATTGCACTCCGCCTTTTAAACGCGCGATATATTTTTAAGTATTTCCCGGATATGTACATCATCGAATGCACGAGATGCGGGAAGTGCTTGTATGAAAATCCTACATATAAGCACTGACTGTGTTTATATTGAAATCCTCGTTTATATACACTACCAGTCCGTCTACATATGTATGTATGTAACTAAACCAAACGAACGACTACAAAATTTTCATTTAAATTGAGATATCATTTATATAACTAAATGTGCAACAAAATGCAGAACCTGTACAAGTGGTTCATAAAAGAATTTCAAAACCAAAAACTTATTTTCAGTGCTTATAAGCGGGAAGATGAAAAATTTTTCGGTGCTTGTAAGCGAGAAATGCCTATAAGCAGATGCTTATATCGTTACTATTTTGTGTATATATTAAATTAAATCAAACCCACCCTGGATCCATCCATCCATTACATTACAAATTTCGCGACAAGTTTTTACATTAGTATGTAAATTGTGTTGATTTCGATTAAAGTTTATTTTTTTCTTTCAGATTATTTAAATAAAAGTTTGTTTTATTTTTTTTTTACTATGGATTCATTTAATAACAATCTTTTCAATAATGGAAATCTATTTTCAACTTAAATTTTAATCTTATAGTTGCATTGAATAACTGTAATACATATTGCATATTTTTCTTAAATTTAAGCTAAATACTAAATAAAAATAAATACGAACATTAAGTTCATTCACAATAAGAAATCTGTTTCGAGTAAAAAAATACATATAATACATTGAACTGAAGGATTTCAGTGGGTCAATTCTTGTTCTATGAAATGGTGAAGTGAAAATTAAAAATTCAATGATAATTTT